TAATTTATTTATTTAAATTAATTTTCGTTAAATTCATTAATTGAATTTTATTTTAAAATTTTTGTTATTGCATTTCATTATATTTAATAAATTATTTATTAATATGAACAGATTTTCATTTTTTATGCTATTTATTTTAATTAATTAATTTTGTTTAATTTTTTTAATTAAATGATTTTGTTTTATTTTATTTCAATTTATTTATTTCATAATTTTTAATAAAATATTTATTAATATGAAAAATATTTTCTTTTCATTTTCTGACTCTATATTTATATTAATTACTTAATTTAATTAAATTTTAGTTTAGTTAATTTATTTATTTTCACTTAAGTTTATTTTATATTTTTTTTATGTATTTATATTTAATAATGTAGGTGTTAATATGAATCATTTTTCGTTTCATTTAAATTTTTTTGCTTTTATCATACTTTAATATTATTTTAATTCATTTTTTATATCATTCAATGAAGTTTATGCTATTTAATGTTTTGCTATGTTTTATATATTTTTTGTGTTAATTTTAAATTAAATGTATTTTAAATAATTTTAATTTAAATTTATTTTATTCTATTTTATTCTTATTAATTTTGTTTTATTGAATTAGATATTATTTTTTTTTTAAGTTTTATTTAATTTATTTTTTTTTTTTATCTATTTTATATTCATTTACAATAATTTTTTTCAAAGTTTCATGTATATGAAATGGAATATTAAATTTGGTGTCATGCCGATCGTATCAAATGACGAGTTGGATGGTTTTAGTTATAATTAATAATAATTAAATAATAGTTATAATTACATTAAATTTTTTTTATTTCAACTTATTAAGTGTAATTTATTTCGCTTTATTTTATTTAATATTTTTTTCTTGTTATTCCTCTTGACTTCATATAATTTTAATTATTTTATTTTATATTAATTTTTAAATTTACTTCTGTTATTTTCTTTTTCTTTCTTTACATTTTTTTAAATAATTTTCAATATTTTTTTGCTCGCTATACCAAACTTATGATCTTCATTGTAGAAATTTGCTATGCAAAAGCGCAAGGAACAACGGCTCGCATTGTTTTCCAAGAAAACATATTTTTGTATAACCGAATATGTTGAAGAATGAATAATTAATTAAATTTATTTATAAAATATTCTCAATGTAATTGATAATATACAAAAAGAGCTCTGTGCTGTTGAAGATATGCAGAAGTAATTATGTCTCGAGTTGGACTGACCGCTCTTTGGCCGTCCGTTTACAAGAGTTTCCTTAAGTATCACTCACCACGGCTGGCTGCTGTCTCGCCAATTATTGCATTTACATAAAAATATATATACACATTTATATATATAATGTTACGGTAAAATATTGTATCATTATCCGCCTGATTTATTATGGAAATATTTCTTTTGGAAATATTTTTTGCAAGTGCAATTGCAGACGGAAGAATTGGCTCTGACATTGACCGCAATTAACTGTTGTATGCAGAAAGTGGAGAAAAATGTATGTTTTTTGTATTGTTTTTTTTTTTTGTGTACATAAATATAAGGAATTGAAAAGTGCTACTTTCAAGGAAGAAACTTTTAATTTTTTTTCTGCAGCATTTACTGTGCAGCTGACGAACGGCTTTGCCTCATGAGAATTTTTGAAAGACGAAAAATTTTTTTTGAAGTTTGGTTTATGGTATTGTCTTGAGTGCTACCGAAGAGGGTATTCAAACTAGTTATTTGACATAGACCAAAAATTAAAAATTATACCACTGAATTTAGTGTTCACACACATTTCCAATTAATAAAATTTCTTTGGAGAATAATTGGAATATTTGTTGTTTGGTTGTTTTTTGCCTTGAAAAGTAAGAAAGACGATTTCTTTATTTCTCCAAGGTTAAAGAAGAGCCTCGAAATGTTCCTCCTACAAAAACAGTATCATCAGTACATTTGCTATTTTTCAACTTAACCTCTTTCTTCGACTTTGTTTTTTTTTTTTATTTAACCACCGTTATAAAAATACTTCCCTCATCAATTAACCATTAAACACGCGATTCACTGAAAATTTATTTTAAATTACCTACAATTAGTTTATCGCTAATCATTTATTCATTGGTCGAGTAAGAAGTTCGTTCGGTTTTTAGCTAAGAGATGGCGTTGTTGTCCATAGTACTAGTGTTACGTGTCGCATCATGTCGTACTATACGGCGCTGAAAACGTGTTTATTCTCGTTAAAAGTTTGTCTTTGACAGTTTTTCGATTGATTGACTCAGTACGATGTGAACGCTCGTCAAAGATGGACACCAGCAAAGAGAAAATTCTCTACATTTTACAATTTTTCTTCGATCCATGCGAAAAAGCAGCCAAAGCGGCTGAAAAAGCTAATTTAGTTTATGGACCCGATACTGTAAACGAGCGTGTAGCACAGAAATGGTTTGATAGGTTCCGTTATGGTAATTTCGATGTCAATGATGCACCACGCGTCTGGAGGCCTGTCGTCGAAAATTGCGATAAAATCATGGAAATAGTGGAACTTTACCGTCACGTGAGCACTAATTTAATTGCTGAGGTACTAAAGATAAGCCAGAAAACCGTTTGGAACCATTAGCATAACCTTGGATTCAAAAAGAAGCTCGATGTTTGGGTGCTACACGCACTAACACAAAAAAACATGATGCACCGAATTTCCATCTGAAAATCGCTGCTGCGTCGTCCCGTTTCTGAAGCAGATTGTGACTGGTGATAAATGGGTCACTTACGACAACATCGATCACAAACGGTGGTGGTCAAAGCTCGGGGAAGCAGCCCAGACGGTGGTCAAGACCGAATTGACGGCCATAAAACCTTTGCTGTGTGTTTGGTGAGGTTGGCAAGGAATCATCTACTAAGAGCTGCTCCCCTATGTCCAAACGCTGAATTCGGCTCTCTATTACCAACAAATAGACCGCTTGATGGCAGCACTCATCCAGAAGAGGCCATCTTTGATCAACAGAGGCCGAATTGTGTTCCATCATGACAATGCCAGGCCACACACGTCTTTGGTAATGCGCCAGAAGCTCTAGGAGCTCTAATGGGAGGTTCTAATGCACCCAATTTATAGTCCGGATTTGGTACCAAGTGATTAGCCTCTTTTCCTGTCAATGGCGAACGCGCTTAATGGTGAGAAATGGCCTCAAGAGACGTCTGTGAAAATTGGCACTCCGATTTTTTTGGACAATAGCGACGCAGCCTTCTACGAGAGGGGTATATTGAAATTGTTATCTCGTAGGCAACAAGTTTACGAACAAAACAGTGCATATTTGACTTAAATTCGACAAATGTACACAAAGTTATCACATTTTGAAAAATCAATACAAAAAACCGAATGAACTTCTTACTTGACATAATAAAATGGCATTTGACAAACATTTTTTGTGATATTTATTACTTATTGACTTTCTTAAATGCCATAGGCAAAATAGCGTGTTTATCGTTCCTTCTCATTGCAAGAGTTAGGAAACATTTACTGAAACCAGGTCTGATCTTTCTTCTGCTTCCACCTGTGGGTTTGACATAACCTAGTCAGCGTAGCCGCTGTCTCTTCATTCGCTGAACTATATCAATGTATCCGTATAACTCGTCCAACTCATCCTACCTTCGTGCCATCACCTGCGGTATTCGCCGTTGCCAATTTGCAAATGTTCATAAATCGTTCGGTAGACCTTTCTCTCAAAAAGTTCAAGCATTGGCTGCACAGATATCGACACAGTCCATACTACCACATTATGTAGCAGAACTAGAATGATAAGGAATGTGGTAGAGTTTGTTTTTGGTTCGTCGAGGGGAACTTAAGTTTTCATTTTCCTACTCAGTCCAGTCCAAATTAGCTTCTGTTGGCAGTAGTGGTTCTGCGTCGCTTTACCAAGCTCACGTTGCTGTTGGTTACAAATAGACTACTTTTAGGTTATTCCTGCCCATAGCGACGTGGGAGCCAAAACATAAATGTGTTGATCGGTTTTTGATTAAATACTATATTTCTTTCACTATACGAACCTCAGAGCCAACGTTTTGGTATAATGCCAATGATATTGTCATCATTGCTCATTCGCCTTGTTTCTTTGTCTAGCCTGGAAAAAGCAGAACTAACGGCACGGTTGTGGTGAGTTATCCCATCTGAAGTCTCGTTTAGTGCAGTGCGGGTCGGAGAGAGGCTTTCCAGTTCGTACAGATTCTTTTGGTAATTATCGGCGTTACTTTACACAGCCGTATAAGCTTTACGGACGAGACACAGCTCTTTTGGGTGCTATTTATGGTCGCTTTATAACGAGACTCTTGACGCAGCAGGACTTGATTTTACTTAGGGTCTAAAATTGGCGAAAATAAAATACCACTGGCTGTGTCTTGTAGTGGTAAATCGAAAAGAGAAGAACTTTCTTATAATTAACCGTTGTTTGATTGAAAAAATAACTCAACTCAAAACTCGACTAGTTTGAACAGTAAGCAGCTGAGTAATAGTAGCAAACAGAATACTGAGACATCAGAGCTTTTTTTCAGCAAGCCAAAAATACTGCTTCTATACAAGTTAATAAATTGTGGCTTTGGAATATAAAGTTAATGTCATGACATATTGTGAATACCCTAAATAAATGTTTATATGAAAATGCTTATCAATGAAATCAAGAATCCATGACATGGAAAAAAATTTTGTTAATGCTTAGATATCAATATAATTAGTTCTTAATGAATTTAATGGCAAATAAATATAATGTGCATACATATTACATCTTTTAAAAAGAATACACAAATAGTGATGCCATATTAGAAGTAGATTTACTACCTGCGGAAGCACATTAAGTTCTCTCAATATGTGGCATTTTAAAAATTTGATTTTCATGATTTTAATTGCATTATTCGGTGGAATCTCGGGACAAACAGAAACTTTCATCAAAGGAATGGGAAATGAGAAAAGAGAATTTTATAAAAATCTTCTCATGAAGTTAGACGCTGAAGAAACATTTGAAAGCTGCTTGATTTATGGCGATATGCGGCGAAATCTACATTTAGAGGTGTTTTTAAAAATCATTGTTGAAGATATGCAGAAACCAATGTTGTTGCATAGTGTGGCGCCAAGTTATGAAGTTGTTAAAAGGTTTAATAGAAATATACTCACAATTGCCTTAGTAGTGAATGTCGATACAGAACTTGCCATACTCGCCGAAACACTAAATCTAATGCTTCAGAAACGTGTCTTACTCATCTGCGGTGAAGAGCAAGCGGCGCGAGAACGCGAAGCGTATTTAACTCGTCTCTTTCGTTTATGCGAAACGAAAAAAATGCTTAATGTTGTGATGATTTTTAGCGATTTTTCGAGCACAAAGACATTTCACAGTTACACGATATTTCCTACATTTCACAGCGAGCGAAAATCGTACGCCACGGCAGATGTGGTAGTGTTTCCACGTCGTATGAGCGATCTACACGGTTATGGCATACGCACAATGCCCGATCAATTGTTTCCCTACTCATATGCTGACAACATAGATGGACGCGTAAAAGTTGCCGGTCTGATGCCGGTAATTTTGGGTACATTTGCCGCGAGCATAAATGCAACACTTACCTACCCAATGCCAGTGATTGTTGGTGAAACACATCAGCAGGCCGGGTTCGACGAGATGATAAAAAGGAATGAGTTGGATATACCAGCTGCGCGCATGGAAATCTTCGATACCTTCGATGAAGCAACACAACCCTATGCCATTGGAGATCTCTGTATTATTACACCCACGCAACGGTATCATTCTTTTATAAAATTCTCCCTCATATATATGGATCCTACATATCTTATGGTTGAATTAGTGTGCGTTATGATAATACATACGTTGCTTCATTTCATTCGTCGCTTGCAGTTTTTCCGCGTTGGCAAAGTATTTCATTACAATCTCCTGACATCATACACGGAACCAAATTATATGTCAAATCATTTGGCAGTGGTGCATACAGCTCGCTTGCCACGTTTAATTTCGTTGAGAATTTTGACATTTTTAACACTCATCTGGTCGCTGTGCATTCTCACACAGTTCACGGTGAATTTGAATTCCTTCATAACAAAGCCAGTATTGGTGGCGAGTCCGAAAACGTGGCAAGACTTCAATGAAAATGGTTACAAAATACTATTGAGTATACCGTCATATAAATATATTTCCACTTATTGTGGTGAATTGTGCGAAGATATGGAAGACGCAGTGGAGTACGACACATTTGAGGAAATGAGTAATAATTTTTTTCGATTGAACACCAAATATGCATATGCTATAGACATGTTTGCTTGGCTTTACATAAAATTGAAAATGGAAATGAGGGGGGAAAAAATATTTACTTTAAGTAATATTTGTGTGAGAACACATATTTTTCACTCGGTTCAATTGCACCCGAACTCTGTCTTCAAAGACTCACTAAATCTCTTTCTGGGTAGAGCCTTTGATCATGGTTTGCAAAAAGCTTGGATTGATTTTTCGTATTTGGCCGCTTTAAAGGCTGGGAAAATGAACCAAACATGCCATGGCAGCGCACACATTAATAGACCGTTAGATATGGATTTTCTATCATTTGTGGGGCCAATGTTTGGCTCTTTGTGGACCTTGAGTATTTTAGTATTTGCTTTCGAAATGTTTAAAGCAAAAAAGGACAGAAAATAATTCAATAAAAATTTAATTGGAAATGGTAAATATACATCCATATCCATACATATGTCTAGATAATTAAAAATGTTACCGCGCTATACATTTATTTATTTTTAATCTTCATCAAATACATATTGAGCCTTATTATATACACGTATATATGTAAGAGTATATGTGTACAGCTCCTTTGGCTTATCGGTGAAGAGCTTACCATCAACAGAGTTTTATTGAGTACGAAACAAATGGTGTAAGGTTCGGCCTATATGGTGGCTTCATAAGAATTCCCCAAGCATGACTCGTTAATTTTTATGGTTTTATGGATGATGATTTTCAGAACTGTTTTCCCGAAATATATAGCCTTACCCGAAATAGAAGTGTTGACACCATCTACTGACAAAAACTGAGGCTGCTTTTAATTTTTTATAAAATAATTGTTAATAAAAATAATTAAATTTCTTAAATCATTGTGTATAATTTGTTACAGACTTTATGGAATACTCGTTTGCAGGTAGGTAGGCAGTTAATTTTAACTGCTCCGAGTGTCTCTCTGACATGAAATAAAATGCGCTCTCCAAATGTTATTTTAGTCGTTCAGTATTCTTTGCTATTGGTTTTGTAAGGCACTGCAAGTTTTTTTTTTAATATCGACCTTAGGTCATTCTCGCTGATGGAACAATATCGACATTTATTTGCTTCTTCTTCTTTTTTAACGAATTTATAACCGAATTAACAACAGCGCGCCATTCTATTCTTATTTTCGCCCTTTGGCGCCACCTTGAAACAGCAGGTATAGCCAGGTTCTATCAAATGGTCTTTTTTAATGGAATGGAGGTCTTCCAAAGGTGGACCGCTTCATTTGACGACATTATATACATATATGAGTAAGCTTATTACTACGATATTCGCCGTGGTCAATGTCCAAAGCATCATAAATCCTTCTCACAACTTTTCTCTCGAAGATTTCTAAGGCCGTCTGTCTCATCGGATTTTGACATCATTCAGGCTTCTGCAACATATTATATAATAAATATTCATAAGATCAAATAAGTAATATTTAGCATATTATAACAGATTAGTATAAAATCAACTTTTATTTCAAAGAATAAAATAGACTGGCGAATTGTGCCAAAATTTTTAACTTAACTTATTTTAGAAAACATCGCTTCGCTTCCTTATATAGTCTGGAGAAGATATAGTGCCTTCTCAGTTAAGGCCAATGGGTTTATCATCGTCGCACGCTAGGGGCTGTACTCTCTTATAGAAAATTCCACCTTCTCTATTCAGGTCGGCAGCCTTTATAATTTTCTCCAGCAATAAATTCAAGAACTCACACGATAAGGAATCTCCCCGTCTGGATTACGGCTACATTAGGTGATGCATTATCACGGAGGCTAAAATTTCCCGCAGTTGTGCAGAGGATACTTTTTTGTCCACATTAGCTTTAAACGTGCAATATTGATATCGTGACGGGGGCAGTTGCTCACGAAAGCTTCCTTTGGTCACATGGCTTTTCTCTTCCGGTGCATTTGCGCAAATCAATTATATGTTTAAAAAATTTAGCTTAATACGATCTGTGGCCAAACTCTTATAACGAATCAATCCAACACCAAATATACCCTCATTTTTTTTGCAAGTATAGTAAAGGTCACAAGGACCTATTCCTTTCCGTCCCTTTCCAGTCTATCGAACTTTTGTAGCTCGGTGATGTCAGAATTATATAGGGATCGGACATTCCAGGTGCATGCCCTCATATCGTGTTCCATAATACGTTTGAAATGGTCGTCATAAAAACAGGAGTATCTCATGGGAGGTGTTTTCATGCCTTTTATTATATCTGGGTTTTACATGGCAGGTCCCGAATCCCTTCATCCGTTCGCCGCCGCGCTTTTGGTAGACACTGACGCTGCAATAAGTGAACACTTAAACCGAATATGTCGCAGTGTGGCTTCACTGAAAATTCTCTCCCAATAGACGTGACTCAAGCCTTCATACGAGTCGTTTACAGCATTTTGCACAAGAGTTGCCCGTGTGTCCAGGGTACGCCATGCGGATGCAACAGTAGAATTTGATAAAAAAAACATCCAAGATTGTGATAAATTGCTTTACAACCAATTCAATCCTAAATGCAGTACCATAAATTTGATATTATCATAAAAGGTATAATGATCTCGGCATGACTGTCTTTCCAGTTCATTAGTGTTTTTTATCAGCGGAAACTTAATTACAATAATCATCTTATAATCTTTTTTTTAGGGATTCAAATTACCAGCACCATTGCGGAAACTATTCCCTCTGAAAGGCGGTCCAACCTGGAAGGCCTCAACCCCGCTCCGAGATGCTCGTTAAACAAAACTAAACCATACCTGGCAAAAGGAGAGAGTTACCATACCTGTTAACCCCAGAACGAACACAAATCCATCATAAACAGGAAAACGCCTACATACACCAGAGATTACTAAATAGAATATGGTGCCAACTATTATGAGTAGTTTTAGATCGGCTGTCTTGGGAACCATTGGAGGAGGTAAAGCTTCTTGCAGGGGAAAGGGATATAAGAACGTACTCATTTTATTTACGAAGTTATCGACGCTGGGTGACCCGGAGGGAGCAGAGATGTTCTTATGAACCTCATCCTGATGTCGGCATCAGACATACAAATTTACTTAAATTTTTCTTGTATTTTTGAAGAATTGAACGATTTTGAATTCAATTTCCTGTACGATTGGCTGTTGGAAATAAGTGTTCGTCTAATTACCCGTTCAAGACTGTTATAATTCCAAATAACTTTAGGTAGGCTACATTCGCGGCTGTAGTGATCTGATGATCAGTTTTTACGATCATTTGTTGTGGTTCGATCCCTGATTACGGTTCTGTTGAAGGATTTATATGCCAACATATATGTATATATAATAATGTTTTTAAGCGCTCTCTCCAAATTCGCGAATTGCTAAAAATTTCGTTAATTTTTAAGGCACTTCGTATGTGATCGGCGTTTAACCTCTACTCAGAGACTTCAATGGCGCTGACCCTCTTTTAGCTAAATGTTTGTTTATTAGTCATGACCTTAAGCATATTATTCGATAAGAAACTTTACAAGGATGAAATGAATTAAAATTTTTGTTTACAAAACTATTTTTTTTTTTCAAAACAATAATTTTTTCTGTAGTGAGTTTATTTATTTTATTTTTGAAGAAAACATTTTCGAAATAACGTCAACTATTTATAAACATTAATTTAAATTATAATTTTTAAATTTTTTTAAGATTTCTTTACATTCCGTTTGAGCCTATGATACCTTGCCATTCCCAGTTCACAAGCGAAGATCCCAAAACTCAGCGTCCACGCCGCACCGAACAAGGGCCACATGAAGGACATATACTCCATATCGAGTGGCCCTTGTTCTCCTCGATTGACGGGACTAACATCATGAATGCGCCCATATCTCTTTGCCTCCAAGTAAGTGGCATCAATCCAAAATTCATGAAAGCCGTAAGCGAGAAACTTTGTTAGGAACAAATTTAGAGGTTCCCGGAATACCGAATTCGGATGCAAAGGAAAACAGTGAAAAATCTGACGCCTCAAACATATATTAGTTAAATGGAATATTGGCTTCACCAACAATTTCATTTGTAATTGAACGAAATGCCATGAAAACAAATCCACCGGATAGCCATAGTTCGTATTCAGATTGTGTAGTTGTGAGCGAAACTCCTGTGCTGTTTCGACGATTTCAGCCGATTTTTCAATGTCTCGACAGGACTCACCACACCATTGCGAAATGTAATTGTAGAAACTCCAGCCAAATAATATTTTGTAATTACTTTTGCTTAACTCAGCCCAATTTCGCGGCACGGGCATGACAGCGGGTTTCGTGATGAAAGTATTCAGACTCGCTGCATAATCGGTTTCCACGCATAAAGCCCAAATTAGCGTTAGGAATATCAGAATTCGTAGCGTTGCCAGAGTTGGCAAAGTATACGGTAGGCCAGCGCCTATATTGAATGCGAAATGATTCGGTTCAATCCATGCGGTCCAAAAATTTACCAAAAATACTCTATAAGCGCGGAAATATTGCAAGCGGCGACAGTAGTAAAATAAACAATAGGTCAGCCAAACACATGAGAAGAGTATGAAGCCGTAGGCACCATCCGTATATAGGCTGCAGAATTGTCTAAAGGTGTAATACCACTGTACGGGCGTCATAATACAGACTCCGCTAATGGCATATGGCTTGGATGCATGATCGAAGGTTTTTGTGACTTGGACGAACATGCGGGATGCCGGTATATCCATCTCATTGTTACTTGTCATATTGATTAGTTCGGCTGGCCGATAGTAATCGTCTAATGTCATAGGCTTTGGATAGTGGAGTGTCGCATTTATGCTCGAAGCAAATGTTTCCAGAAGCCCTGGCAGATAACCCGTCACCTTGACTTCACCAACTTGCTCATAAGCAAATGAGAAGGGAAACATTTGATCGGTTATTGTGCGTATACCATAACCGTGTAGATCGTTCATGCGCCTTGGAAACACTACCACACCACCTACCGCGTCGAAAGATTTTCGCTCAATTTCAAATGTTGGAAATATTGTGTAACTGTAAAATATACGCGTTCGCCAGAAATCTTCAAAAATCGCCACGACATTCAGCATTTTTTGCGCTGCGCATAAACGAAAGAGACGCGTTAGATACTCCTCGTGATCTCTCAACGATTTCGGCGTTCCACCTACGAGTATTATACGTTTATGTCGTATGTAATGTAGTGTTTCGGCGAGAGATGACAAATCGTATTCGAGATTCTCCAACCGCACCAAAATGAGCATATTACTGTTAAACATGTCTATAACTCTATATTCCGAACACGCATTATTTTGCAATAGAATCGGCTTGTCCAAACTTTGTGTAACAGTTTTGAGTAAAATTTCCAAAGTTTCGCTTGTAGACGTCTCGCCGTAAAGCAAACAGTTGTCGAATCTCTCCTCGGCGTTTATTTTCACCAAAAAAATGTCGTAAAATTCTCTTTCTCTTTCCATCACATTTTCGGCCAACAGTGTTGTTTGTACAGTTTTAAGGCGAAGTAATACCGCAAGTAGCAGCAACAAATTGCGTATATTGCGTTGCGCCATAGCGTAGAGGACTAATGTTTACCCGCGAGTGGTGGCTTTGCTTCTGATTCAAAAGTGTTTTTAGTCACAAATTTGCATAGGAAATATTTTTTGTAAAAAATAAAATTCATTCACCATAAATTATGTCCCTAAACGGCAATAAAGTTTTGTTAGATTTTATGTCCAACATATTTGATTGAGTTGATTTGCTGTTACATACTGGAAGTGTTAATTGGGAGCGAAAATGTGCATGGAAGGGATTTGGAAAGCGAATAGAAATGGCGCATTGCTAGGTGGTGCCTTTCAATACCGTTTCTGGATCGTGAACGCGAAAGAGTTTCAGTTTTGTGGGCAGCTGGTGCTTCGGCATGCGACCAGCCGTAATATATGGTGAGAGTTCGTAGATAAGCTATTAGAGACTGTTCGTCTACATAAACAGAGTTTGATGAACGGTACTTATATCTAATCTTTGAAGAGAGTCTCCCAAAAACGAAGGCAAAGATGAAGAGCGAAGAAAACGCTGGTTACTTTAAATCGCATAAACCAGCATCGGCAAAAGTTGGAGCTCTCTATTATTTTGATAGACGCTCTCGTCCTCCTACTTTCAGTTCTCAATTCGGTGATCCATTTATTAGTTTTCTACTCTTTTAAAGAAAAAATAAACAGAAGAATCAAATTTAAAAGGAAATGGAAATGTTTATTATCATTCGAAAAAAAATCTTTTAAAATTTATTTCTTGGAAATTATAGCTTTCAAATGTTGGCTGTGGCTACGTCTCAGATATTCCCTCTGATAACTGGCGAATGATACGCGTGATCTGAGTCGAAGCGGGATTATTTGCATAAACTTTAGACTTTACATATCCAAAGAAGAGTCTAAAAGTGTGATATCAAACGTTCTTGGTGGCCAATTGACTGGCCCAAAATGTGAAATTATCAGCTAACCCAAATGGTTTTTACCGGTTAAAATGGCAGCTCTTAAATGTCTTGCGGCTGCTCTTTGTCCCAAATGGTGCGATTTTGCTGCTTTACGTACGCATTGAGCCAGAAATGGACCGTTTTCAATTTAACACCTCTCCCAAAATGTGCTAAGTCGTTCCATACGATAGCTCGAGTGTTGCTCCGAACGGCACTGAATAGAATCTCAACGATCTTCGTGTACACTCTTAGCTGCGATCGCTTTACTTTCTTCACTGTATACCAGACGTGGTCCATTCAGTCGAATAATATCTAAAAATGAATGCTGAGTCTCAAGATAAGTGATGGTGTTGCGAATAATATGCATACCAATTGGATCAGAAGTACAAAGTAAGTTATTTTAGCCATGCCCGCATGTCTGTCTCTCTCTCTGTGTGTCCATCGTAAATTACCCCCTTTGTTACTGAAATATTATAACTAATTCTGGTACGTTGATTTATTTGCATACCGTATTGTTCATTTGTCGGAACCGACTTTACTCTAACATATAATCACCATACAACCAACTTTTTTAGACATACATCATACGGTGGAAGAAATTCATTGAGGACTGTTCCAGTGCTATCAAAAAAGGCAATAATCATCGCTTTTCCCTTTTTCGTGACGGTCACGACGAACACACGTTTACTGAACACGACATAGCAGGCGAACTAAACAAGCCAGAGCGATGGCAAATATATCAATAAAGAAGAGAAGGATGCCGGGTGAAAGGAAACGGAATTTCAAGGTCGCAAGGTGAGTTGTGGTTTCAACAACAACGAAATGGTGCCATCTGACATACATAACGAGGGAATATGGCTTAATTGCGAGAAAAATTTCCCCGCCGGGTAATCATCCTCTTGGCGATGTCAATTCGCCACCGAAGTCGTGCGATTTGACACAGTTGGAATTTTTTTGTGCAGTACCCGATAGCTGAGATTTATGTTGATAGATTTTGAACTCTTGGGCACTTGAAAACCAACCAATTTGTCAAAAGTGGTCGAAAATTAACTCATACTGATTGAATACCTGGTGGTATTGAATGATTTACTGTTTCGCCCATAAAATGAAGAATCAAACTTTATAATAATAAAAGAATAAAATGAAAAACAATTTTAAATGTATTTCATTATGAATGGATAACCCTGTAATTCTTTTTTAAATAAAATATGCATTTTTAACACATTAAAATCGTCGTCTCTATAGCCGTGGGTTAGGAAATTGTATGAACAATACTACGTTAAAATCTTTAAATTTTTGCAGGTTGTTGGACATAACTGGTTATTTCATTGCTACAACAGTGATCCAAGATGTACCTGGAAGGAATGTAGTTGGAAAAATTTAATTCAAAGTCATAGAATTTCAATGCTTATTAAGAATATTTAAAATCGTATGTGAATATCTTTTTTACAGTAAATGAGTGGGATTAAAGAAATATATTTAAAAAGCTTCCAAAAATATAAAATAAATTTTTATTGCACCAAACCCAAGTCACCTGAGCGTAAAATAGAAAAACTACGAGTGAAAAAATCGAATGCGAAAAATCATATGAAAACCAATGGCCTTTCTATCCTTCCTTGGAGATTGCGGATAAATACCATAAATAATGCAATGAAATATTATTTAATTTACTATTGTCTGTTTGTAATTAGCAGTAAGTGCATTTTAATGCAGACAAATTAAATTCCATTAGTTTTTATGCAGTCATATTAGAAGTATTGTAAAATTGCCACTGAAGGAATTAAAATTTTTATTGCAGCTTTTGGTACAAAATTGAGTGCAGCAAAAAGTGAAAATACAAAACTTTAACAAATTTTTAAATAATATAAATAAAAATATATATATTATGTGATATTTAGTTGATTTACGGCGAAGTTGGTCAAAATTGCTGAGGTCCGATTAATTTAAAATTTAAACGGAGATTAGCTAACCGTTGGATACACTGATGTGACATTTTTGTTGTCACCAAGTTCTGGTTACTTAACTTCTGGTTAGCCTGATTATTGTGCATATTTTAAGGTAAATAAACTTGCGATGTGAGTACATCAAAACTGCATGACAGCTGGTATTTGCTTACATTTTTTTATACGATATGGTTGAGTAATTCTTAAGATCTGCCGTTTTCTTTTTTATTTTTTTAAATTTTATTCTGTGGTTATGGATAAAAATTGTAATTTAGGAAAATTTGTTTCATATATTTTTATTTGGGAAAAGACTTTGAGGGTTTTAAATTTAAGTTATGATTAAGTGCTTAACCGGGGATGGTGAATACCGCCCTAAACCTCTAGCGACAAAAAACGTACGATGCTCATGTGCGAGGAACTAGATACCACAGCGTTTCTATTGCGCGGAACAGCGTTTGAAATTGAGCGAAACATTTTCGACGCGGCAGGTGTGACAGTGTTTTCACGACGCATGAAAGATCTACACGGTTCTGGTACACGAACGATACCCGATCAAATGTTTCCCTACTCATATGCTGATAACATAGCCTGTTGACCACGATTGTGGAAACATTTGCCTGAAGTATAAATTACACATCTGTCTAGCCCATAACAGTGGCTGTGGATGATATATACTTTTCGGGCGCCATACGCAATATGCCATGTAAAAAGCAGTTGTATATTTGGGGTCGACCTGCATGTCCTTCGAGGTACTGTGCTGGCTGCATTTGTATTATAATGCTGATTAAATGGTATCATTCTTTTACAGTTTCTACTTCATGTTTGTGAATGCGACAACTTGGCTCGGCACATTATTTCTGGGTGGCTCAGGTTATTTCTATACTAATACGGCCGCTGCTTGAAGCATATACCCGACACAGATCCGGTCTTGAAACGTCCGGTTTTACGTTCAATCGTAGTTTGTGTGGTCGAATGTTTTTCATGCTCTACCTTTTCAGCTGAGCTCGATTTTCGGAGGGTCTTTCAATGAGTTCATGACGGAGTACATCAATTACGGCCGATAGAGTTATTGGTTACGTGCGAGATATTTGGAAGTAATGACTCCTGCATTTACTACTGGTATTTCTCCTTTAGATTTGCCACTGGCTAGGCCGCTCAACATGGATTATATGCACATAAACGAAATTTGGCATGAGCTGGACTGCTCATCTAGTCATTTTCGAAGAAGTAAGGTCTAACAAAATGTCTCGGATGGGGGACCCTCTTTTGATTTGATGTGGAGGACTGCAAAACTTTGAAGTATCATGCCCTCTTGACTTGCGACTGGAATGACAGAAGTCTTAAATTTGGTATTAGATTTATGTTAGGAGGAGGGTTCTAGCATTAACCCCGGTTGATGAACATCTTACTACGATTCGTATCAAACCGAAGCTCCTCAACCAACGCCCCAATATAGAGAAGTGCTATGTGGCCAAAGGTGCCTGTTAGTAAGCCCAGCATGTCACCGTGAGCGCTGCCACTGCAACGATGTCAACTTTGCGATATGCAATTTTATTGCCGGAATGAGTACCGAACATCCTCAAAGATCCTCAACATTGTCTGGCTGGAAATATAATTGTCTGGAGTACAGAGGTTTAGGCTACTAGATGCATTTTTATACAAAAATTAATATTTGAAAAGCTCGAAAAGCTAACCGATAGGGGTAATCCTGAATATTGCCGAGATCTTATGAGTCTAAAGCTTTCGAGAGTGAGAATTTCAGGATGGTCTATGAATCAAACGTCGAACCTGCACATAATGGAACGTTGAAATAGATGGGAATAAAAAGAGAGTGGCTACGTTTGTCCATTGTTGCTCGGACGAATGAAAGCACGGCGGTCGAAGTAGAGGAAGGAGAAAATCTAGACTCCATTGGTATTATTGATTCGGCTATAAGCACAAAAGTGTCTACGCTGATCCAGAAAAGGAAGAAAATTAATGGCATTTACAGAAGGTATTATTTATTTAAATTAAATTGTCAGATTTATAAATTCGAGTATTATTCCCATGCAATAGTCTTCGCTAGCGATTTAGGAAATGCCAGGGCAAGTGCTGAGGCCACAACTTCCCTCCGCCGCTATCGTGAATAGTGTAAGTGAAAGGCTTAGGAGAAAATATCAGC